ACTGTGCTACAACACAGGACCCCCTACCAAGGAGGGTCTGTCATACACATGCTGGTGTAAAACCTAAGTGAAATCCCAGTATGGGGAATTTACACTTATTAAAGAGCTTTAGCTAGAGGAATCTACTTTAGGACACCATCTTTTCTTCTGTTAAACCCTTTATTCCTTGCACTTTCAGTGATTCACATTAGGAGACAACCTCCCAGTCTTTTGAGCCAAGTATCATGCCCGTGTCAGAGAATAAGACACCACCTTCCTCCAAGGCCACATTACAAGTCTATGTCCGAGTCAGGATTGGAAGTGAAAGTCTCCCCACCTCACAAGCCAGTGCTCATTCCAGACTAAGTGGCTCCTCAAAGCCCTGGTTTTGACATAATTTCCTGCCTTGACATTTCTGTCCAATAGTAAATCAGCACCAACTGCCATAAACCTATAAAATTACAGTCAACTTCTACACATACACTAGGAAGTCTAGCTCTCGGAAACACTATGTCAGACCAGACCTGTGTCTGGTCCAATACTCAGAAAGAAAGCGAGAGAGATTATGGCATTATCCAGTCAACCAATCCAGTTATCTGGGAGATCCCTAATGATGGGCAGGCCACAGAGCTCTGTTTGCAGGGGCAAAGTGAATCATGAGTCAGAACACATTTACCAAGTGACAATACAAACCAAAGGAAGGGGAAGTTACTATGAAGTTACTGACTGTTCAGAGCCAGAGAGGCATTAGAATGAATGGGGCGGGGGGCGGACTTGAGTTTGCTTCTCTTTTCCCCTCCTGTAATAAGACAGTTACCAGCAGCGGCTGTCCTGGGTACAGGGGGTGGGGTGAGAGAAGGCACAAGATTATGGAGTCAGCCTCATCCAAAATAACCTTCTGCTCTAACCCCACTTCTCCCCACATCCACCTAAACTGGTCTCAGGGGACCAGGGAAGAGGCGGTTACCTGTGCAAAGAGCCCAGGCTCTCAGCTGCTCCCCAGCCCCATTTACACACCCACGCCGGCTAGCTAGGAACCCAGTCAAGTTACAGACGGAATAACTCCCCAGTACCCATTGGGCCTGGGCTAATCTCTGGTAACCCCTGACAGGGAGGGTTGGCCAAAGCTCCATGCAATCACACCCCATGGGTACGACCTTACATGTGGGGCAGAGAATAAAAAGGACAGCATGCGAGACAGGGTCTCCTGAGCTCAGAGCACCCCTGCCCCAGCCCAGTCCCTGTTTGTCAGATTACACCCTTGCCCCGAGCTCAGAGCCCCCCAGGGCCTGCCTCCCCCCACCCCCAGGGGGCAGGACCCCCAGCTCAGAGGCCCCCACCCCCAGGGGGCAGGACCCAGGGCCTGCCTCCCCCCACCCCCAGGGGGCAGGACCCCCGGCTCAGAGGCCCCCACCCCCAGGGGGCAGGACCCCCGGCTCAGAGGCCCCCACCCCCAGGGCC